TTTCTCCCGCTGCGTCTCCACTCCCTGTGAAATTTCCCCTTCCAAATCCACTGGATCCTTTCTCTTTGAAACCAGGATCGCTTGCTTCTTTCCTTAATAGCTCCAGTACATCCGAGGTAAATCGATCTGAAAATCTTGCTGCTGCAATAGCTGGTGCTCGAGCGGCTGCCACACAGTTTTCTAAAAACAGTAGTTCGCAGTCCAGTACAGTCGAGCTAGGAAATGAACATGTTTCCTCTAATACAAGGAACAATTCTAGGAGGACATGATAATCGAGTTGCTAGCTTTGTTGCAGAAGCTTGGACACCTAACTTCATCGTAAGGTAGTGGCTAAGATATCTATTGAATATTTGATGAATAATTATGCCCTTTTTGGAGGTCTAGTTATTTAGTCAGGGTATGTCGTAGCGATTTTCTCACCTGTTTGAATTTATGATGTGTAAACTGCTAGTCAAATGCTCGTTTATATCATATTCTTTTCGCGTAAACTGCTAGCCAAATGCTCATGTACCATACGCGTTTCTGTTTCTGATCTCTTGTAAAGTCCAAAATTAGGAGTATCATGTACAATTATGAGATTGTGTAAGTGTAATTTAGAGAGCTCCACCTTCTTTAAATGGCAAGCAATTTCTCCTGTGCACTCATTTTAAAGTTTTCAATCGTATGTTTCCTTAGCTGGTTATTTCTGCCGCATATTTCCTTGACTTAGTGCATCATGATATTGTGGCAACAGAGGTTAGTTTCTTCCTTTGAGCTTTCTGTAGATTTCATTCAATCCTCTCATTTGGTCATTATGGTCTTGATATTGACTTCCCTGCACGGCACTAACAATCTAGTTTAGCGTAAAGTAATCGCACTGAAGTTAGTTGTCTTACCTTACTTTACCCTTCCAAGATATCTGTTAGGAAGGTGCCACGTAAGCTGTTGGGTGCTTTGATTTTCAAATTTAAGTGTCCGGTCAAGAATTTATTTACATATTCTTGTTTAAAATTTCTTTATATATTCATGTTTGAAATTTCGAGCAACGGTAAAGTTATTTACATAGTCTTGGAGCAACGGTAAAGTTGTCTATGAGTGACCTATAGGTCACGGGTTCGAGACGTGAATGCAACCACTAATGCTTTTCTTAGGGTAGGTTGTCTACATTACACCCCTTTCGATGCGGCCCTTTCCTGGACCCTGCGTGAACACGGGATGCCTTGTGCACCGGGCTTCCCTTTTTTAGTACATAAAGTATTAATGGCCTATACATTTTCTTAAGCTTTAGTCATTTTATCAATAACTGCTACTAAATATGAACTAGGATTGTCTTGTGTGGCCTTAAATAGAGATGCTTTCACATATCATGACTACTGAAAACAAAGAATATTTGAATGAGGCTATGAGCCAATCGTAATCGTAAGTTATTGTTGGTGCAATGTCATTATCATTTAGAGTTATTGTAATTATGATAATGCCAAAATGGTGATATTGATGTTTAATAATTAATTAAATTTACGCAAATGGTAATGTCCATCTGTGTATACTCATGCATAATTTTTTTTGTTCGTGTGGATTAAGAGTTATCCAAAAATAGATATAACACACAAGGTGAAAAGAGACTTGTGCCTTGTGATACTCACATCCATATAATATGCTCCCTAATATGAGGAAACAAAAAATCACAAAAATTTCATGCTTCTATCAAGGCAAGAAACTTATATAAAGAAGATACTGAACTTAGTTTTATTAATATAACATAACATTGCAAAGATGTCAATAACTTCCAAATGTTTGCTAGTTATGTCCCTTGGACTAATGGTTCTTACCACCTTTTCACTAGCTGATCAACACTACCAACCTACCAAACATGAGCTTGGACGTTCTGATACTAATCAGCTAAACTTAGCCATGGAACCAGCACCACCATACTTTGAGCAAGAAGGGTTGTGGCGCTTGAACGACGACTCGATCGCCATGGAACCAGCACCAAGCTTTGAGCAGAAGCAACATGAGCATGAGTCACACATGAGGCTAGTAACTTAGAAAACATTAGCACCAGAATTAACTTGGGGGATGGTGGATTATTAATTGTATAGCCCCTTATTCTAAGTTGTGGATTAGTAGTAAAGCTCCATTGTCTTAAATTTCCATCTGAGTTATCACTTTATAAGTCATGTAACAGATAGGGGTTTAAATAAAAATAGTTTCTGATCCTAATAAAACATATTTCTATTATGAAAATAAAAGAAAATTTAGTCGGAAGTCTGACAGAAACTTGCCTTAAAACATTGCCATATTTTTTCTGTTGCATTAGAAATGATTCAAGATCTGAAGGTAAAAGTGTGCCAAACAAATTATCTACTGAATTTGCTTCTCGTAGTTTGCGGCTAACTCGACCAGTTATTCATGAGTTATTTTCATTTCTTAATTTATTCTTTCGGTCGTTGAAGGGGAGTCTTGCAGCAACGGTAAAGTTGTCTTCGTGTGACCTATAGTTCACGGGTTCAAGCCATGAAATTAGCCAATGATGCTTGCATCAGGGTAGATTATATTATACGGGGGTACGGCCCTTCTGCGAACCCTACGTGAATGTATGATGCTGTGTGCACTGGACTGCCCAATCATCTACTGCAGCCACTAAAGCTGATTGATCAATTACTCTTTGGTTTAAACAACAAAACTCTTGCCGAAAGCCAAATCTACAACCAAAAGCCACCATTTTCACTTCAGATTTAATTTAAGTACACTGACAATATATATATATTTACACTATTAGTATAATTTGCATGTTTTAGCAGGTTGATAACAACTTCCACTTATAATAGACGATTACTTGTAGTTCTCTTTTAACTGATCAAGTAGTATAAAAATTTTCTTGCATTGGCAGTGCATAGAAGTTAAGACGTTTGCCCTTTATACCCTATATTTGGAACCAATTGTCCTTACCAAGCTTCGGTTAGATGTCCCAAAGTCAAGCATTTCACGTGATAAACATAAATTGCTGCATACAAATTATAAGCTTCCGATCTTAAATGATGGGAGCTTGTGGGGGCACCCTCACCTATAATTCTGTAACCACAAATCAATGTCATGACATTGACTGTTGTACGGCCGTATTACCTACTTTCAATACTCTAAAGGCTCGTTTGGTAGGAGGTATAATGATAATTAATCCCGAAATTAAATTTGAGATGAGTTTATCCCACAGTTGGTTGAGATAAAATTATGGTATAACTAATTTCAAGATTAGTTATCCCGGGATTGTAGTATTTTTTTTATCGCCATGGGAGGTTGGGATAACTAATCTCGGGATAACTAATCATGGGATAACTAAGGGGTTGTTTGGTAGGGTGTATAAGAATAATGTTGAATAAAGTGTATTAGTAATGTATGGATTAGTAATAAAAATATTAGTTATGTAGAGATTATTTTTTATCTACTGTTTGATGTGTTGTATTAAAATTTAAAATGCATTGCATAATTTTTAAGAAAATTAGTTATTTACAAAAATGCCCTCCAAATTCTTTAGATTTAAAGTACTTTAAGGACAATTTTGTCTTTAACCTTGTTAATGCATGCATTAATAGCCTTGGTATTGCTAATACCATGATTTGCTATGTATTAGTTATACATAGGATAATACCAAATAGGTTGTATAACTAATACTTGCATTAGTAATATATATAAGTTAAAAAATTGTACCAAATAAGGGATTAGTAATACCTAAAGTTAATGCATACATTATTTTCTCTAATGCATCCTACCAAACGATCCCTAATTCAAATAGCTCCGTCTGTTATTTATAGAGGACAAGCAACTGAAAATCCAATTAGAAAATTATAACTTCTAAAGGCCAAAGATTATGTGTTTAATTACTTTGTTATACATACTGATTATGGCAATTAAAGCATATTACTATCTTGGTTGTTGGATATTATTGGAAAAATGACATTATATAGCCGCTGTAAAAATAATAATCGAAAAAATATATATATTATATATATTTTTTTATATATATACATTCTTGATGTTATACACAAAAATTATATAAATTTTATATACTTTTTCGATTATTAGATATAAATAATTTTTGACGCGGGCTAAAAGTAATAATACCTCGATATTATTCCATAACATGGTGGGATTTACATTAGATATTTCAATAGAAGATGAAATATATTTGACAATTTTATCCTTATCATGTTGGACCCGATTCTACAAAACAAACTTTTGGGGAAGTGATAACGTGTATTGATTCCAGACAGATAGACAATCTGATAAGGACATTGAGCTAATTCCTTCCTTTCAACAAAAGACTTTTATGCTTTTTAAAGTCATTCTACCACACCGCCCATTCCTTCATTCTTTCCAAGCGACTATTTGATTCTGTACAAAGCCACACATAAAGTATAAAAGAAAAAGATTTTATTTACAAGGTGTTAAACACTATTAATAATATAAGACCTTTTAAGAGAAATTGTGTGGGTCTGATCTAGAACAATTAATATTACACTATATTAGGAGTATTTTTACGCTATTTTAATTCAATAACCGGTATCAGCAAGACAAGTACCGAAATAACAGAGTGATAGGGTAGAGCCCAACTTAGTATTTTTGTCCGTCTATGAACAGGTTATCTTTACTTATAACTTCAAAGATGCATGCACAAAAGAAGCCAATGGGTTTGGACTTTGGTGGCCATAAATAACTCTAAATTAGCCAATGAATGTGATCATATAAAATTTAATTTAAAAAAAAATTATTGAGTATATGTGAATAAAGTCTTCTATAAAAAATTTTAAAAACAAAAAATTCTACTTATAATATGTTGAATATTCAAGTGAGGACTTTTTAAAAAAATTGTGTTGGCTTAGCTGAAAACTGACGGTATCACCCCAAACAACGACAACGTACATGATGAAAAGATATTTATCGTGCGACAAAGACATGTTGACGTTGACCACTTTCTTGGGAAACTCTATAGCAAAAGCAAAAGCAAAAGCATAGGATTCTTCTTGAAATTAATATTGGTTGCTTTTTGATGTACCACAATAAATTTATGAAACATACAACTACATAAGATTAGATTTCTTGGGCTACTCTAAAAATCCAAGCACTCTTGAGTGGTTAGGATTAGCAGCTAAATTATCATAACAATGACAATGGCCTTCTTGGTAATTACTATAATCATTACTGCTTACTTTTCTTCCTTAGTTTCAGCCTATGATCTTGACTCTCTCCAGGATCTCTGTGTTGCAGCTGAAGATTCCAACACTTCTGGTAACTCATTCATCTATCTTTATTTTCTTTTCCATCCTCCTGATAATTGGTTATATATACTGACAGTATAAAAAAATTTTACGCTAAAAATGTAATTTCATACATGATGGTGGTTAGTCATCCTTTTAAATGTTATCAATTAATTAATATGTATTTATGGGTTCCGGCCGAAGAAAATACAGAATGTATATATTTTAAATCTTGGCTACGTCTATGTTATCAAGGACATGATTGTATTAAATGTCAGAGGATAGAGCTTAGATTCCTTTAAATTGTTTGCTTAAAGGCTAAATCTATGTCTAACTTATGTTCCTAATATTGTTCTATTCATTTTAAGTGCAGTTTTAGTGAATGGAAAAGCTTGCAAAGACCCAAAGCTAGCCACTGCAAATGATTTCTTTGCTTCAGGTTTTAATGAAAGTGGACCGCCAATACCAAATTATCTTGGTTTTGCAGTGAATATTTTGAATGTAAATCGAATGCCAGGACTCAACTCTCTTGGTGTTTCAATTGTTCGTGCTGATCTTGAACCATTTGGATTAATCTCACCTCATATTCATCCTCGAGCAAGTGAGTTAATACTTGTATTAGAGGGTACTTTATATGTTGGATTTACTATTCCTGATCCAGGAAATCCTTTCAAATCAAGATTATTTGAGAAAATCTTGAATCCAGGGGATGTTTTTGTGATTCCACAAAGTCTTATTCATGTCCAATATAATTTGGGAACTACTAATACGACAGCATTAAGTTGTTTCAACAGCCAAAATCCTGGAGTTCATATGATTCCTTTTCAACTCTTTGGATCAAATCCACCAATTCTTGATGATGTTCTTGTCAAAGGTTTTCGATTGGATAAGAAAGTGGTTGAACATCTTCGAGCTCAGTTCTCGAGCAAATAGTGAACATGTTTGTGCTGTTGCAACCTTAGAACCTTAAAGTCATCTTTCTTGTTCAAGTTGCTGAGAAACTCTCTGGAAATGTAAGAAGACAAGTTCTGGTTAGCTGTGATTTTAATTTTCCTGTAATTTGGTAGTGTTATTGAAAATGAAACAAAACTTGGTGATGTTCTTTTAAAAGTTCTGTTTTGTAATGCAATGTTGTCACATGAAAAGGGTAAATTTGACGAATGGTCATGTAATTAGGAATACTTTTTTTAACCAAAATCATATAACTGTGTTTTCTCGCACAAAAATCATAAATCTTTCATTAACTTACAAAAAAATCATAGCAATAGGATTACAGAAAAATCATAGCGATAGTATTATATATATGTAATATATATAATAAATATTGCAGAAAAATTGTGTTTTTCGTTTGTTATGATTTATGTGTGAGTTAGTGAGAAAATTTGTATGATTTTTGTGTGAGAAAATATGATTATATGACTTTGGTGGAAAAAATTATAGTTATATAACAATTTGTGAAATTTACCAAAAAAAAAAAAAAAAAGTGGATTGAATGTGCAACCTAAAAAGGAATTAGGAGGTTAAAACCAAAGAAAAAAAGAATTTTTACCTTCCTATACACTATTTGAAATTTTATTACCCTCCATACTCAAGTTTCAATTTAATTACATAGGCATATACAATTTATCAATTATATACATTTTAGGAATTAAATGAGTATCCCTCTATATTATGAATTGAATAAGGAATTAATTATTTTTCATTCTCATTCTCTCTCCCTCTTCCGTTCTCTCTCTCCGTCTCTCTCTCTCCTGCGCTCTCTCTATCTCCGTTCCTCTCTGTTCTCTGTTCTATCAAAATTAATTTCCTAAACTCGTTAGCCCCTTTTGAGTTCAAATCTCATTCTCAATCTTAAAATTCTTGGCCAACATTTCATACAGACACATTACCAAATAAACTCTCAGCAAAAGCAATACCAAAATCCATGAAAAATAACAGATGGCATGTAAATCATGAACACAAACTCAAGGCATCAATTATTCATCTGATAGACTCATTTTCACTAGCCAAATTTAGCAAAGCATTCACCAAGCAATTAGACTAATTCCCAGGAACGTTAAACAAATTACACCACATAACTATCACATATTAAATCTAAAGTAAATAATAGAGAAAAAGTTAGAAACAAAACTTCGATTGCTTGTATCTAAAAAGCTCGAACTCAAATAAAATTATTTGAATTCGAATTTGGGTTTTCAAAAACCATTATTTGTATGGATTGAGTGTTGTTGCAAATAATTGGGATTATTGTTTGGAGTTTATATCTCAATTTTGAGGGTATTTGGTGAAAATTAAACTTGATTTTGTCTGAATTTCAGAAGAAGAAGAAGAAGAAGAACACATGACATACAATATACTTAAGAAATTGTAGTAAAGTTGTATTATAATTGTATGTAAATTATATTATGTTGTAGTTATATATATTTTTTTATTTGAATGTTCTATGAAACTTGAAAAATAGTTGTATAATGTATTAATCATTGTATAAAAATTATATTTAAGTTATCAATATTATCTTTTTATATAAAGTTGTTTGTATCAAAATTGTATTAGGAGAGTAAGTTTTGATTGGAGTTTTAGAGAGGAAGAAGCACACACCACATACAAAATATATACAAATCAGATACAAAATATATACAAAAGACATATTGTATAATATTTGTATGAAAATTGTATTTAAGTTGTATGATATTGCAGTTGTATAAAATTGGGTAAGAATAATGTATGACAATTGTAGATAAGTTGTAAATCAGTTGTATAATATATACTTAGTTATATAAAATTTATTTTTACTATGTATAAATTAGATACAAAATATACAAAAGACATATTGTATAAAATTTGTATAAAAATTACATTTAAGTTGTATGATATTGTAGTTGTATTTAACTGGGTAGAAATAATGTATGAAAGTCGTAGATAAGTTATAAACAAGTTGTATAATATATAATTAGTTGTATAAAATTTGTTATTACTATGTATCTATGTTGTAGATATTCAAATTTACATTAAATTTGTACGAATTTTGTTTTTAATTTGTAAGTTGATGTACCATGTGTTGTTCTTAGAGATAGAGATTTTATGTGTTTAGTTTGAATATAAATATGCAATGAAATTTAGATTCAGTAGAAGTTCTCTTTTAGATTGTGCTGGTGAATAATTGTTGGTTCCTTGGAAAACATTATTGTTGTGATTTAGTAGTGTAAGTATTCTGTAAAATGCCAAGCTTAAAGTAATCCAACATGTCACTCATACAACACAAGTATCATTAACATGAAGTCCTATAAACAGAACCATGAGTATTGGACTATCATCCATTTTAATTGGTTGCATATCTTGCTGTCGAGGTTTGGGATCCTCTTGTGGTTGTCGCTTCATCGACATTATCGAAGTCTATAAAAGGGAAAGAGAGCAATAATTCCACGCTTATTGAAATTCCAAAAGATGAAGCTACGTGGCGGCGGCGGATGTCACTTGTTCCAGCACCACCTAAAATAATTAAATTGCCAGTTTCATATTCTTGTGTACTAATCTGGTCATTACTCTTTTAGAGTTTTCCCCAACTGAAAAAACTGTTTGGCCAAAATGGTAATCTAGCTAAGGAGTTTCATTACGATTGATTAATGTTGAAAATAATATATTACAACGAAAAGAGAAAAAAAAGGACTGACGGGTATTTGTGACACTAAGGAACCGAAACAAAAGATGATAATCATGGAGTATTTGTATTGGTATTGGTAATGGTGGATGAGGAGATAAAAAGACCAACATGCGTGAATATTATGGAGACAAGAGGGGAGAGAGGGGCGAAAAAAGGAAAATGGTGTAACTAAATCCCTTGATTGAAGACACTAATAATGGTTTGAGAGCCTTTTAAGGTAAAATATATATAATTTGTAAGTAATCCTTGTTTAGGGCGGGTAATATATAAAATTAGAATAATTTTGGTAAATAAGTTTCAAATATTATATAGGATTGTACAATTCGGCCAATACAAAAGCAACATAGCCCATGGGCTTCAAATTAGCACCTCTTTCGGGTCAAATCTGCCCATCTTCTTTAACTCATTCCTGTGTAAGGAAACATAAACCCAACAATTCCCCCTGCTAAAACCCTAGCAGTAAGTCCCAAACTTTCAGTAGCGGCAAATTTGAGAAAATTGCAGCACACAACAATGGAGAAAACCTCCCAATCTCCACACCCATTATTAAAAATAGCAGAAATACAAGGAAGAGGAAGAGGACTTATTTCAACTCAACCCTTAAAACCTGGCGAAGTAATCCTCAAAGATTCCCCTCTCCTTCTTTACTCTGCATCTCCTTTGATCCCCTCAAACAATACTTTTTGCTCAAATTGCTTCAAAATAATACTCCAATCTCCTATCCCGTGCCCAATGTGCACATTTTCAGCTTTTTGTACCTCTAATTGTCAATCCATAGCTTTATCCTCTTCTCACACTCCTTGGGTTTGTCAATCTTTGACCCAACTTCGTAATATCTTATCTTCTCATAACCTACTAATAGACCAACAAATTCAAGCTCGTTTTTTAATCTCTGCTTACAACTTAGCACTCATTTCTCCTTCCTCTTTTCGTGTTTTATTATCCCTTCAAGGCCCGTCTTTTATTTCTGAAAATGATGCTCTATTGTTTCACTCCCTCGTTGCTACGCTCAACCCGCCTACGAGTGAATTTGGGTTCTCAAAAGAGCTTACTTCTGTCCTTTTGGCTAAGGATAAGGTAAATGCATTTGGGTTGATGGAACCTTTTGATTCTAATAAAGAAAGAGGTGTTAGGGCTTATGGTATTTATCCTATGGCTTCGTTTTTTAATCATGATTGCCTTCCGAATGCTTGTAGGTTCGAGTATGTGGATAGTGATGTTAATAATAGGAGTAATACTGATATGATTGTTAGGGTTATTCATGATGTACCCGAAGGAAGAGAGATTTGTTTGAGTTATTTCCCTGTGAATTTTAAGTATTCCGATAGGCAGAAAAGGTTGAAGGAGGATTATGGTTTTGCGTGTAATTGTGATCGGTGTGTGGTCGAGGCTAACTGGTCTGATCATGAGGATGATGATGCTATGGATAACGAGGGCGAGGAAAATGAGGAGGAAGAGGATGAAGCAATGGAGGAGGATGTGGATGATGAAGTAAATGGAAATGATGAGGTGGAGGAGGGTGATCAAGATTTTCCTCACGCGTATTTCTTCATGCGGTACATGTGTAATCGAGAGAATTGTGGGGGTACATTGGCTCCGTTGCCTCCTTCCGATGCATCTCTGTCGACAGTTATGGAATGCAATGTTTGTGGTAATTTGAGTAAATGTGATGAGCTTATGGCTTAGTGCCGTGGACCATCGATTCCTATCAAGTATGTTACATTTTCCATATTAGTTAGGTTTGTTTTTTCTTAGAAATTTGAGCCTCCACGTGATGTTTTTCGCGCTTATGTTGATTTGATAAACACCTATTTGATGAGCTTTAGTTGTAGCTAAAACTTCTTGACCCTTTGTCTTTGGTAGCTCGTCTTGGTTTTCCTTTTGTTAGTCTCAAGCAAATGCCAAAATGTTGGCTTGTGATCTCCATAATTTTCATATATATGTGGTATACTTTTGTTTCCATAATTTTCAAATGTAGACGGTATACCTTTGTTTGAGTAACATGTACTTCTCTTATGAGCATTTTAACAGTCAGTTTATCAACCAGTCACCTTAGAATTGGGCGCGTCTATATGAGTCATCTATACCATTTTGCTCTATTCTTCTAAGTATTTTACATGGATAATAAGCTGCCAGGGAATTTCAACATACCCAAGGCCTCAAGTTTTGAATATCAAGCACTGGAGTGTTGTGACAGAGTTGGTGATACTAATTGGATTGTGGTGTATAAGGCTTGAATGAAGAGTTTAATCATCATTGAACCATCCCCAATAAACAAGAATTCACTCATATATTTCATTGCTCTATAGACAATTCAAGCAGTTCAGGTTATGATACCAGTTTGCCTAGAATTAAATCTTCTGATCTTCAGCAATAAAAGGTAACATCAGTGTTTCATCTGAGTATTGAGCTAAGTAATGTTAGTTGGATATGAAAATGAACCTTGTTTCTTTTGTTGATACTTAGTGAAAGATTTAGAAATTTGCTATTTATTGATTTACGACATTGAGCAACTGCCATTTTGTTTTGCTTCTTTTTCATTCATTGCTCTCCATCACTTGAGTTTTTCTTTTTCCTTTCTAATGTGCCATAAGACAAGATAGGGCAATGATGAAGCACCTTACTAGGAAGTAGAAACCATGATTGACGAAATACTTAGACATGCTACACAAGAAAAAGCCTAGATTAATGGTCGTCATATATAGAGGGTGTTTGGATTGGCTTAAAAGCTGGTCAAACCAGCTTAAAAGCAAAGAATTAAACTGTGTCAATCATCACAAATATAGGTTGACATCTTTTCTCAAAAAAAGAAAAGAAAAGAAATAAACTGTGTCAATCATCACTTTTAAAGATATCCAAAATTCCTCAGTATACGTAGCACCTTCTCCTTCTAAAATTAGGCATGCCTGTGAGCTTGTCTACTCTTTCAGTTCTATTATTTATGGAATAGGTAAATGGGTGCCCAAAAGTCTATCTCTAACAACTTATTAGAACATTTTTGGACAAAGAGTATGATTTAAATCTAACACTGAAGATAGGTTGACATCTTATTTTCCACTAAATATGTATTGGTTTGTTGAGACATTTCTGTCACAGTACCTTTAGCACATTTATTTTGACTATTGATTATATTAGTGGTTACTTGTCTTGAACCTGCATTTAATAATGAGAAATTATCAGGACTATTCATCTGGACTGACAAAAACTAGGTTATTAAAATGATTAGATCAAACTATAAGTAGTCACACCTCTCTCGTTGTTTTGGAAAAAATCATAACGAGCCCAAAACACACAAACTTGTTTCCACAAAAAACTTGGGTTTTTGCCAAGAAACCTGACTTTGCTATAACAATGAGCATGTCCTGGTTAATAACAACTTTAGTTGCTGCTTCCTTTTCATCCCAATTAGCTTATGCTTATGATCTCGACCCTCTACAGGACATATGTGTTGCGGTTAACGACTCTAAGGCTTCTGGTAAAATCATCTTTCTACAATCCCGAAAGCTTTTTGACAGATTCATTTTTCTTTGAAAAAAAGCAAAGGAAAAGGGTCAAGTTTGCTTCTATATTATTAGTAATCGACCGATTTTGCCCTCCGTTAGATTTTTGGCCTAATATTACCCTATTTTAGGAAAAAGTCTCGTTTTTACCCTTGATTTCTAACAGATTGCTCCGACCTGAGGGTAATTTTAAACTATATTCTAAAGTTGGAGGGTAAATTTGGACATTTTTTCTTGACAGAATTTAGATACATGGAGTTCACCCATTTTAGGTTGGAGCTCCGCTAATGACAAAGGAAAATATGAGACGATTGCAATATTATGAATGAACCAAAAGTGAAACTGAGGGTAAAATTAAGCAAGTTCATATAATATATAGGGTTAAATTATTTACTTTTCCCCTTTAAACATTATGTTAAATAATTTCTGTTTGGGAATGAGGCCTATTTATGTTTTATATATAGTTTCTATCATCTGTTAACTCTTAATATCTGAACAATATGTTTAACTTCATTTTATCTCACTTGTGCAGTTTTTCTGAATGGAAAGGTTTGCAAAGACCCAAAGCTTGCAAAAGCAGACGATTTCTTCTTTTCAGGTCTTAATGTAAGTGGAAATGCAATGCCCAATTCTGGTTTTGCTGCAAATGTTGTGGATGTAAACACAATGCCTGGACTCAACACTCTAGGTATTTCTATAATTCGTGTTGACTTCGAGCCGGGGGTCCTTGTTCCACTTCACACACACCCTCGAGCTACTGAGCTCATAACAATATTGGATGGTACTTTCTATGCTGGGTTTCTTGCTCCTGATGCGGCAAATGTCTTTAAAAGTCGTCTCTTCTCTAAAATTTTGAATCCTGGCGATGTGTTTGTGATCCCACAGGGGCTTATACACTTCCAGTATAATGTGGGACACAAAAATGCTACTTTGCTGGCTTCTTTCAACAGTCAAAACCCTGGAGTCGTCACAATTCCTAATTCAATTTTTGCTTCAGATCCGCCTATTCTCGACGATGTTCTTGTCAAAGGTTTCCAGCTCGATAAGAAAGTGATTAAACAACTTCGAAAGAAATTCTCCTAGAATATGTCATTACAAATATTATTGTGTGTTGAAAGTTGTGTGCAGCTACTCACCAACGACGTGTGAAAGTATTCTTTTACTTTTCTCTAATTTTAACACTGTTGTATTTTCTTTTACCCGTTTTTCGTCCATCATGTACAATAACAACATTCCCATTATATTCTCACAAGCGGGTTTTGGGGAGGGCAGAGTGTACACATGCCTTGTTCCTAACTTGTGCAGGTAGGAAGGCTGTTGGCTCAAGTCAAGCATCAACACAACAGTAAGGAAAAGAAATACAACAGTGAAGTCATGGAAAAATAGTAGTAACAACAACTAGATAGTAACAACAACAGAAGCGAAGCAACAACGTAACAAGACAAAACTAGACTTAACACTAAAACAACTGGTAAGGAAAGGAATTTTCGTCCATCATGTAAGGTCTTTAATAGCTAAAATACTTTTAAGAAGCTTTATAGACCTGTAACCAGTCGATTCTTGCAAACATAATACACATAAGTAATATCCTGTGGTGTGTAGTATATCTTTTTTACTTAATCAGATACAAAATACATAGAGAGGGAAACTCATTTCCTTTATAGGACAAAGGGTAACAAATTCCTTTAGCAGATCGATTAGCAGATGAATACAGCACCAATAAACTAATATGTTGGCTTCTGAGCTCCGTAATTGTTATATATACTCTGTTTATCATGTACTTCTCTTGTGAGCAGTTTAACAACAAAATAATCGAACAATCTCGTCTGAAATGGTCTTGGCTATATGAAACATCTATACCATTTCGCTCCATTTTTCTAAGTATTTGATGATAAGCCCAAGCCCTCAATTTATGAATATTATGTGTTCAGTCTTGTGATCATAGGAGGTTCAGGTCCATGCCACAATTCTCTGTAGTCCATGTTTCTTTTGTGAAAAAAAAGTTTGGAAAATGGTAAAGTCATAAATGAAAAGTTTTATGATCATTGAGGCATCCTTAATAAACATGAATTCGCGCATATATTTCATGGCTTTATAGGCAATTGAAGCTAAAGACTCTACCTGCAGTTCAGGGCATGATACGATTTTGCCTGAAACAAAAGCCTATGATCTTCAGCAATAAAAGGTAACATCAGTTTCTCATCTGAGTATTGAGCTATGTAATTCTAGATGCAAATGAAAATGAACCTTGTTTCTTCTTTGATAATATGTAATACAATTATCAAATGTAATTCCTTGCGTTGGAATTTGATTTGTATTGCTAAATACAATGGGGATGTTACATCTTAACAACCTAGTACAGGTGTATTTATTGCTAAATAGAATAATTGGTTGCTACTAATTCAGTACAAACAAAAAGAAATAAATGTTGCCACTAATTTTTGACTGATTTCTTTTTATGTTCCTGTTTTGAACAATTTGCTGTATAATTTCTGTCATTTCTTAGTTCTTAATATATACTATTTGAATGATACTCTAGCTTCATTTCATTTATGCATTATTTGTGAATGGAAAGATTTGTAAAGACCCAAAGCTTGCAAAAGCAGATGATTTCTTTGCTTCAGGTCTTAATGTAAGTGGAAATGCGGTGGTTAAGTTTGGTTTTGCTATAAATGTTGTGGATATAAACACAATGCCTGGACTCAACACTCTTGCTATTTCTATAGTTCGTGTTAGACGTGGGTTGTTATGATGGTAAGCACCCTCCACTTCCAACAAAGAGGTTGTGAGTTCGAGTCACCCTAAAAGCAAGGTGGGGAGTTCTTGGAGGGAAGGATGCTGAAGGTCATTTGGAAACAGCCTCTCTACCCCAGGGTAGGGGTAAGGTCTGCGTACACACTACCCTCCCCAGACCCCACTAGTGAGATTATACTGGGTTGTTGTTGTTGTTGTTGTGTTGACATGGAACCACAGGGTTGCCTCGAGCTACTGAGCTCATAAGTCATAACTATGTTGTATGGTACTATTTATGCTGGATTTCTTCTCCCTAATGCTCAGAACATCTTTAAGAGTCGTCTCATCTCCAGTAGATTCTTGCAAATGTAATACAAATAAGTAATATCCCGTGGTTTCTGTCATACCTCCTTTTTCCCGAGGGGATAGAGATAAGAGAGTTTTTTTAATTAAAGTGACATTATTCGAAATGAGATTATTTATTTAATTCGAAATCGCCACTTGGAATAATTTATGGTGTCCCAAGTCACCGGTTTATTTTAAATCCCAAATCGAGGAAATTTGACTCTATTTATGGTCTGCGAACACAGAAGACCGGGTAAGAAATTCTGTTAACCCGAGAGAAGGTGTTAGGCATTCCCGGGTTCCGTGGTTTTAGCACGGTCACTCAACTATTAATAATTGGCTTAATTATCTAATTTATTACTTGTTTTAAGCCTATTGTGCATTTTTAACCGCCTTTAATATTTATGAAATTTTTGAACAAGTCACGATGTCGCGCACTCGTTGTTTTTGAACACATCGCAAATCGCGTCACATGAAATGCACCCGCGGTTTACAACATGTTTATTTTATTATTGGTTGAAGTTATGGTCGGGTCACATGAAATGTGCACCTGAATTGGGAATTATGTATCACGACTATGCCACAGGAACCGTACCCATAGCCGTGATAATTTAATTGCGCGCCTAAAGCAAACTCCGATGTTTGAAATTATTTAAACTAATTTGAGATGATTGTGAAAAGGCAGGGATTATGAAAATTATTTGTTGTGGAATGAGTGTAAGATTTGATAGTGAAAGTCTAATGATGCTTATATTTAATTAACTAAGATTGAATTGGGGCAAGAACACTCAAAAGAGGTATCTATTTGCCACCAAATTGCAAAATGACTAACCAATTCGTTATTAACAGGTATTAAAGATGACAGGTTATTGAACGCATGCCAACAATTAGGGAACCAACAAATTCAGAGTCCATTGGACTCTTTAAATTAGGATAACATGTTGGGCTATGGCCCAAATTGACTCAATTTGGTCTTTTACTTAGACTGTGCACGTTCAGATGCCTGGTCTCCTTTGGTTTCTGATTATTAAAGATGGAACGAAGCATTTGTTTAAACATTCATAATACTGAATCGAAACATATATAAAAGAAACAAATACTCAGGAATTAAAGAGAAACTGTTCATACAAAGAGAATCCCAAATTACAACTAAATGGCCTTTCAATTAAATTACAACTATAATAAGCATTTGTTCTCTTTGTTACTCTCCGATTTAGACTCGAAATCTATCCAACAATGGATTTGATCAACTGATGATCAAATCCAATGACAACCTCCACATGCCAATATCAAATCAAAATTACACCATTAATTTCGTGAGCCAACACTCAAATGAAGAAATAATATTGTTTCAATAGTAGTATTGAAACACTATTCACTATCAATTCAAATAAAGGTACTCTAGGCATAAAATTCTTCAACAGTGATAGACCATCTTTGATCACACGAATCCAAACTTGCACATCTTATTAGCATAAAAAGAAAGAGACTTAGATTTCAATAGTCCAATCTCAAATTGAGCAGTATATAACTATTAATACAACACATAAACTGAATTCTAATTGTAACAAGCGGATTTCCAGTATCTTTTAGTCATTAAATCTCCGAAATCAACATGTTTCTCATAGGCAAAATAACAGAACCTTCATGTAGTTACTATATTAAAGCTAAGCATTCAATTCATGTGCAAAAACCGAACAAACAATAAATTTAAACAAATGCAGCAGATAACTTCAGATAAAACAGCCCATACTTAAATACAAATCAAAGTAGAATACAAGTCTACATACCTAAAGACATCAACAATCTAACACAGCCAAATAAAGGCTTTGAGATGAATCAGTTAAGGAAGAAAAACGAAGTAGAGATGATGTCAAGTTCGGCAAGCAGAGGCAACCGATTCCAACCCAGCAAAAACATCAATCCTAATAGCATGAAAGTTCTTTGAGATCCCAGAAAATATCAATCAAACATGCTAGAATTCGAAAATAACTTTGTATCTCCTTCCCCCCCTTTCTTTTTGATTTTTTGAAGTTGAATACTAAGAACTTTTCTTTCAAATTTCAGCTTATATCAGTTTTCTTTTGAGTGAGTGAATATGCAGAAAATAATGCCTGTGTGTGAGGGAGTGTGAGGTCTCTTATATACGCAAATATTAGGGAATAATTATGGGGAATGCAATCCCTAAAAATAAGGAGAAAAGACATTTTTTAAAACTGAATTGGACAGCTGTTGGACAACTGTCCATTCCGATATTTTTTCAGCCCTTGTATCTTCTGAATTTACCCCTTTTTACCTCCCAAATTTGACCTAATTCCTTTGTTCTTTTGCATTTTAATCTCTACTGCACTGTTCTAGAAATATCTCAACTACCTAACAGAATGATTCTCTTATAATTCTATTTCCTTTAGCCCCCCTCAAATCCTAGCTAATGTCTTCTTTTGTTTACCAATTTCTTTTACCCTATTATTTACAATATTCATTCCAAAATTACTGCTCTTTATTTTTACTTTAACAAAAAAAAAAAAAATTAACACGCAGCAATTAACTAAACCAAATTATCAGCAAATAAACCAACACAAAACTAAACATGAATCCACCGAGTCAATCCTTGACTAAAGCATGCTAATTAAAATAATATTCAATTTATACTAATCAATTCAAGTAGAAACTGACTCTAAATATTTAGATTAAAACAAATCGGACATTCACGAAAAACCAAGAGGACTGAAAAATAGTAAAAGGACAAACGAAGAAAGAGAGAAATGAATTATACCTATTTGGGTTGAACTCGAAAAAACACTGACTCCGGTAAAGCAAACAGGACCGGATTCCAGCGTGCAAGAGGAATTGCTACACTAGCAATGCTAATTGCGAGCCGGATTTTTAAAAGAGACGAAATTTTAGGAAGAAAACTGGGCGGTGGTTTGAGTTTGATGAAATTCGGACAATGAAGGAGACGGAATAAAATCACCATCAATCAATAGCTCTCATTGAGAGTGATCGATTGAGGCCGGTTTCAACCTAAAATGGGCCGACCTTCATAGATAATCAACAAAGAACGAATAGGGTTTTTTCTAGGGCTTTTAGATTTGAAAATTGGGAAAATCTGGGGTGTTTTGAAGGAATCTAAAAAGAGATATGAGATGAGGGGAAGATAAGGGTTACAAG